ATTACTATGAAAAAGAAGATGCGGCAATACAAACAACGTCAGTCGGAAAACAACGATAAGTTTAACGTGAAGATGCACGAAGTGTTGAAGAAAGTTTTTACTCCTGATCAAATTCGAATACTGTTAAATCCTTCCCAGAAACGGATAGTCTGGTTTTCAGAAGACATAGCAAGTGCAATGTCTTTAAGGTGTGTCAGTCCAAAGGCATACCGCTATTTAAAAAATGTTATGTATATGCCTCTGCCCTCGCTACAAACACTTCGAAAGTGGGTAACCAATATCGATGTAGAACCAGGTATTTTAAATAAAGTGCTTGATTGCATGAAGTATAAATGTAGGAGCATGAAAGATCATGAAAAGTTAGTGGCGATTATGTTTGATGAAATATCTATATATTTCTAACAGGGTAGGTATTGACCGCAAAAAACAGCATGTCGTCGGTCTGCACAAGACTATTCAATGTGTCATGGTTAGAAGCTTATTTTCTAACTGGAAACAACCTGTGTATTATGATTATGATGCACCAATGCAGAAAGAAATAATTTTGAAAATTATTTCGAAATTATACTACTCAGGTTATACAGTTGTTATCATGACTTGTGATATGGGTCCTTCTAACATGGGTTTATGGGGTGAATTAGAAATTGGTTTGAAATTTGATAGATGTTATTTTCAGCGTCCGGAAAACAAAGATTAAAAAATTTTTGTTTTTGCAGACCCACCACATTCGCTGAAGTTAATAAGAAATCATCTTATTGATAATGGGTTCACTATCTTGGGATGTCGAGTAGATAAAAAGTGTATTGAGCGAATTTTAGCCATAAACGCTAAAGATGTAAAGGTGACCTTTAATATTTCGCAATACCATCTCGACGTTCAAAGTTCCGAACGACAAAAAGTACTTCCTGCAGCACAATTGCTCTCGGACAGGTTAGCGACAGCCATCGAATGGTACGGACATAACGGACATCTTGCACAATTTGATTGGGCAGAAACAGCTCAAGTACTTAGTTATGTAACGACTGGTTTGATGTGTTTAACTCAAGTTCAAAATTCGGCAAACATGAGAAGAAAAATGCGTATATGGTGTTAATTTAACAGCACAAAATAAAATTTTAAGCGAAATGAATAGATTTATGAATCAAGTTAAAATTGGAAGACATAAATCTTTGTTGCCTTTTCAAAAAGGAATTATAATTAGCAATAATTCAATGCAACAATTGTTGCCTTATTTGAAAGATTTGTGTTCCAACTTTAATGTTGAATACATTTTAACAAGGCGGCTTAATCAGGATGTATTAGAAAACTTTTTCTCTTTTATAAGAGGCACTGGTGGCGCGTACAATCAGCCAACTGCTTTAGATTTTAAGTATCGTTTAAGAAACTATATATTAGGAAAGCAGTCGGTAAATTTGTTCTGTAATATAGGCTCTTGCAACGTAAGAACAGAATCTGTTTCATCATTGATTAGCAGCGAATCATGTTCGGTTTTGAGCGAAATAATCAATCCTTATGTTTTGGAAGATGAACCAGAGGAGGAAGAAGAAGAAATATTATGTCTTGATAATTTCAATAATAATAATAATAATAATGTACTCGTGTGCGATTTAAAAAATTATCAACCTACTACCGAAGAAGAACAACTTCTTACGTCTTTAGATGAGATTAATATAATAGAAGTAATCGAAGATGAAGGTTTAAAATATGTAGCTGGATACGTTGCATACAGGTATAAATCTCTGTATCCTAATTTAGGCGTGCGAACGAGCGAAATGCGTCCTGCATCTAATATAGATGTAGATTGGATTCAGTTTATTTCTAAGGGCAAATGCATGTATCCATCCGATGATTTATTAACAGCTACGCGTATTATGAATGTTGAATTTGAAAATTATCATGGTCCAAACTTGCGTAAAACTGAATTTATATTCAACGAACTGGCAGATATTGTCTGTAAAAAAATTCTTCCAATTAAACTATCGCATAAAGTAATTTTATGTCTTGTTAGGAACTTATATAAGACGCGGACTTATATAAGAGAGTTCGGGAAATAAATAGAAAAATTTATGAATCTAACAGACGAAAAAATAAAAAAAAAATTGACTAAGTTTACTAATAATAAAGTATATTAAGCTACCGGCACACGATGTTTGTTTTCCTGTTGGATTGCTAGCTGGATCAGATTCTTTCCATCGGATTGGCTACGATATTGATACCGATAGCACCGCAGCCAATACAGTGGCAAGATTCTAATCCAGCTAGCAATCCAGCAGGAAAACAAGCATCGTGTGCCGCTGGCTTTAGTAAAGGGTATTGAATAATTCTATAATGTAATCACAAAGGCTTCCTCGCAGCCTTTGTGATTACATTATAGAATTATT